TGCTCTGGCAATTGAACCAGGACTGTCATGATCAGCCTCATCCGTGAGCTCTGGCCACAACCATGTAAAGAATTTAAGTACTTCCCTGCTAAATGATCTCTATCTTGCTCGTGAAACTGAAGCAGGTCAGCGGGTCTGTGGGCGCAGCGTGGAACTGGACACTCACAGGACGTGTAACCAGCTCCTGTTGGGAATCACCCTCTGGCCTCTCAGCAACACTCATTATAAGACACGACGTGCCTGGTTAATGCGGCATTTTCTTTCTTAAGCCATCAGCATATGCTATTTTTGTGTGTGTTCTTAAAACCTTGATTTAGATCTTATACGAGCTTAGCTCTGAGACTACACGGGCAATGTTTTCAGGACACTGTGGAACGAATAGCAAAAAGATTCATCTGGCTATTAAAACTGAGTTCGAAGTCTCATGTATTTGATCCTGCTCTGCAAACCGAGGGCTCCTGTGATGAGGAGACACTGAGAGGGCAGGATTTTTTTTCCCCCTAAAAGCACAGCTCAAATGTGCTCAAGGAATGACAAGGATCAACTCATCTTCGTGGTTGAAGCAGATCATGTTTTATCTTTACCGTATATTTCATGATGTGTAAACCTCAAGGTACACCATTCATCTACTTCCAAGGGTGACAACTGGTCAGTTGAAACCCTTGTAAACACAGAGACCACTGCTTTCTGCTCCGTGTGAGAGTGAAAGCGAGTAGAAATCCAGATATATCTGACCAGGCTCTGGGGAAAAGGAAAGAGCGGGTGACAATAAAACCAACCACACCCATTTTTCTTAGAACATTTCGACCAAAACAAGCTGAATGCAAAGGCAGAAACAATGTTAGCAATATTAATATTAAAAATTTAGAATCTTCTCTACTATTCCTTTTATAAGAGTCTTTCTGTTATTCTGCATCACTGAGTCTTTGGAGCTGAAGCACTGTCATATTTTTTTAGTATGCTACTCTTGAATTATTCAGGAGTTGTTTCAAATATATGTATATGTCTTCAACTGCAAATCAAATCTTCCAAAAGACAAAGAATGAGCTTTTCATATACCACCTCCCTTTTCTCTGAGTGCAATGATACAGAGGGGCCCAAAAAGCCTTTGCAGAAGGAAAGAAGGAATGATGGGAGGAAGGAATGCAAGAAGGATGGGAAGGAAAGCGGGAAGGAGGGAGGGAAAGCAGCCTGCGTGTGTGCACCTAACGGCTGAAATACTACATCACTGCTTTCTGGTTGGCATAAATAGTATTTCCAAGACAAAATTTAAAGTCAATACTTTAGACTAAAATTGAATGTCAAGAAAAGATTTATACTTTGTGCAATTAAAATGAATGAATGTTTAAATGCTACGGGGCCGACAGTAAGTAAAGTATAATGAGTCAAGTAACTTGGCACAGCTATTAAAACACGGACTAAACGACCAGTTCACCTCAGCTATGCTGCTAGTCACTCTGCAACGATGTCTAATACACATTGTGATGCTCCCCAAGGTGTATTTCTCTTTTTTAAATCCAAACTACAAATGATCAGTCAGGTGTTTGATGATACGTGTATAGGTGACAAATTAATTCACCTACTTTAACAATACCTGTTACTAGTAATATATGAGATTACCTCCGAGTAACTTGGCGAGAGATATTTCCCATTGCATTTGGCAATGCTCCTCAGAATTTTTAACGCTTTATCTCCTTTCTTCCGAGTAATCAGCCAGCGGGGAGATTCAGGAACCACCCTGGTGAAAAGAAGACTTTTTGGAGTTATGCCTACGAATTTCAAAACCGAAAAGTTTATGACTTGAGTTTCTCTATCAAAATGGATCTTGCAATTAGATGCATGTTTAGGAGATTCTGAGAATTTAGAATTGGCCCTCTGAAACATAGATTCTCTTTGCAAGTTTATAACAAAAGGGAAAAAATGCCCACTTGATAAGTGAATCACCGCTCGTGGTCAAAATAATCAGTATTACATTGTTTTTGCAAGAAGGCTATTTCAGAATAGAACATGCTCAGTTACACATATGAGAAGAACTGGGATTTAATGGGCATTTAGGAAAAGGTTAAGAGCCCAATTTATGTAAACTGATTTGCCCATATGTCAAAATTAAACTAGAGAAATGATTAAAATATGTTCACTCTAATAAGAATCATATGCATACACCTGTAGCTTTCTAATACATTTAACATTTCATTATTCCTCAGAGAATTCATGAGTAATATTAATTTGCTTCATAAAACATACAGAGAAGCAAACCCATTTTGTTGCATTTAATCTGCATGCTGAAGTACTGGCAGATATGGTGTGTTGCCTTGTAGTCTTCATAAAGATATTATAAAATACTACAAAATAATAAAACATGATTAATACTCTATTTAGAATTTTGTGTTTTGGAGTTTTATTAATTTATTTTAATAACAGCTATTAGTCAGCTAGCCAATAAATAATCTCTATAAATTCTCAAATTCCCTAGAAATTGTCAAAGCCCACAGCCATTCTGGAGATGTCAGGAAATCTCCATTGCTTTCATTCTCATGTTGGTTTAGAAGCACAGATTCTACATTTCTGTGGAATCAGAATAAATTTGATAATGACCAAAACCACATTACCAGTAATAAAGGAGGAAGAGAAAGTTGGGCAGCGTTATGGCTAGCTGGATCCCTTGCCAATTGGGGATAAAGTAGGCAATTCCTGGGAGAATTATGATTCCGAGGGTGAAGAACATTTGAATGGCTATTCCCACAATCCTCCTTTGCTTTGAACCCACTATTTCTGTCACTGAAGGAAAACAAACACAGAGGTTAGGGAAGCTCAAAATCAGCTCCAGAGCAAAGAAACAAACGAACAGAGAGGTGACACCTGTTCTATCCATCCGTCAGCACTGCTCGAACACTACAGGACCCCTGCGGAGGCCGCGGGCTCCGTCCGCGCTGACGTGGCGGCGCTGTGCCCCCCC